GGTTTATAGTGTACTGCGTGTACCACTGTAAATTGCAATTTAAAATACGAGCACAATGATTTCTGATAGTATCAAGCACCCATAAAAACAAAATTATATTGCTTGTGACTATTCAACTAACAACACCATCAGATGTGATTGGCCATCACGAGTCCCCGAACTGCTTAAAGGCTCCCCCCCCCCCCCCCCATGCGTGTTGCTCGAAGAACTTCACAAGTGCGACTATTGTGTCTCCCGTATTTTCCACACCTGTGACATTTCCTAAATGTGAACCCAAAATTTTATTTTATAAATCTGATTTTAAGAAATTTTGAAATAGCTATTTTTCACTTCGTAAAATTTTTTGCGATGAAATCAGTGTTGAATAAATTATTTTGAGCCACTTTTAAGTAAATTCAACACCGGCAGTTATTTTAAATCTAAAATCCTAAATTTTCGGGTACATTGCATACCAAGTTTTTTTTTATCCAAAAGTCAATCTGAGTGAAACCGGAAAGGAACCTGTGAAACCTGAACACAGTGTTTTAATTAGAACTATCTTTTAGAAAATCTATTTTGACCCCAAGTTATTTAAAAATTATCTTTCTAGCCTTGGTTCATGATATAAGGTGAACCTTGACTATTCCTACAAGACAAAGCATTTGATGAGATATTTTAAAGCAAGCAATTACATTTTTACCCATTAACCCTAGCAACAAAAGAACACTATTCTACCCTAACTCTTGTTCAATTTCTTCACCTCCCTTGGCAGCCCTTTCTCTCATTTCTCTCGTGTCTCTCTCTCTCCACCCCTCTATCATCTTCATCTTCTTCATCTTGAAAGCTCCTCTTCTCCAAGCCTTAGTCCAAGATTTGGTAAGCTTCCTCTTCTCTTCTTCCATTCCATTCTCTAGTTTAAGTTGTTAAGATGATGTATTTATGTGGGTTTGTTTGTGTGCTTGTAAGTAGAAATGGTGAAGTTGTTACTATGTTTTCGTTTGGAGAAAGAAGATGAGGGGTGAAGAAGAAGAGCTTAGTGATGGTGTTGGCTAGAATAAGGGTGCTCAAGGTATAACACATGGATTTCTAAATCTAGCATTTTTGCCCTAAAATATGTGATTTATTTGTTCAAATGGGTTTATACTTATGTATTGAGTGTTTAAAGTGATGAAATATATGCTATTTGTTGTCATCTTGCTATGTGATTTTGGAGAAGTGTTCATCTGTTGAAGTGTTAATAGGAAAGCAGTAGCAGAAGCCCATTTCTGGGAGTTCACGGACCATAGGGATGGATCTAGGCAAGATCCGTCACCATGGCCCCGGGGAGTTCACGGACCATAGGGACGGATCTAGGCAAGATCCGTCACCATGGCCCTGGGGAGTTCACGGACCATAGGGACGGATCTAGGCAAGATCCGTCACCATGGCCCCGGGGAGTTCACGGACCATAGGGACGGATCTAGGCAAGATCCGTCACCATGGCCCCGGGGAGTTCACGGACCATAGGGACAGATCTAGGCAAGATCCGTCACCATGGCCCGCTGGGTGTCACGGACCATAAAGACGGATCTTGACAAGATTTATCATTATGGTTCGTGGTAGGTTATTGGTTTAAGTGTTGGTATGTGAAGGTTATGCTTGGGATCAATTCCCATGGTTGATAATTTTAGTGTCAGCTTCAATTTGATGTGTTAAGCTTTGAGAAAATTGTTTAAAGTGGGATTTGAACCCTTAATGCTTTGTTTAATAATTCAAGCTTCTTCCACTTAAAATACTTTAACCTTTAAAAAATTATCTTGGAATATATATTATATTACTTAGGCTTGAAGGTTTATTTATATTTAAAAGTATTTTTTTTTTATAGAAAATCATAAATATGTTTGAGAAGGGTTTAAAATTCCAAAAACTTGATGTGCCAAGAAAACTCTGTTTCAAGAATTATTTATATAAGTATATATGTTTTGGGGAAATGATATACTTGATTTTGAGAATATATACTTATATAATTATGTATGAGGTGTATATTTGATTATAAAGATATTTGAAGCTTATTCTATTATTTTCCTAAAATTTCTTAGCTATTAACATCGTATATTTTGGGAAATACTATGTATCCCTAGAAAGTTTTTATTAAGAACTTTTGATCTATAAAGTGTATAACCCAATGGACCGTGAGTTGCTCCTGTGTAGTGGTCGGGCCCTTGTAGCTCAGCTACGTGTCGTTTCGGACCAGGTGTCACGGGCCCTTGTGGCTCAGTACCTCGGGGCCGTCTTGACGCATGTTTGGACTTTGATTTCGTTGTACTTGGATTAGAAATGAGCATGTTATGGTAGAATTTGCGATGAAATGCTTCACAATAATGTTTATTTGAGTTTACTGCGTTTGGGAATTGCTTGGTGTTACCTTCCTGATGCTATTTGAGTACTTGAATAGAAAAGCATGAACACTCTGTGAATAAGAATTGTTAGAAAAGCATGAGTAGAATGTGTTGTATGTTCAATGGAATTTGAGGTCTATTTTGATGGTAGAAATATACAGAGTTCGATATGTTGCAAACCAAGCATGTTATTGTGTTCTTGAGAGATCACTGTGATATATAATTTGAAGCATGTTGTACAGTAAATTGCATTCCAAGTGTATAATGTTTTAAAAGTGCATAAGTGGCCAACGTGAGCCTAAGTATTATTTTCCAAAAATCGCATTCCACATAGAGCATCCTTATCTTATTTTTGAGAATGAATTGAGAAGTATGTGCATGTCTTTTGCATAAGTTAAGTGTTGCATATATGAGATGCATGAGCGATATATCTATATATATATCTATGGTGAGGAAAACCTTGTTTTGGAGGACCCGTTTGGACTATGTCCTTTCGGATGAAAGTTATGGACATTGCGGTCCCAGTACATGTAACACGGTGTATTTCCACGTTACGAGGTTGGAAACTGCTCGCTAAGCTTGGAATCCTGGTCAGGGGGTGTGCACGCTGATAGTTCGATACCTGATTCCACAGAGTTTGAGCATAGAACCAAGAGAGTGGTTCGGTGGACGAGATGAGTATTAGGCCGGCTAGACGTCGTGCCCGGATAGGTTCGTTCATGCTACGGTTAAGTTCCTACCTCGTCTATTTGGAAAGAAAGCGAGTCGTTGTGACTCTAAGAAAAGAAAGAAAGAAAGCGAGTCATTGCGACTCTAAGAAAAGAAAGCAAGCGAGTACTTGTGGCTCTAAGAAACCTTCACAGAAAAGTATTCTATTTTATAAGCGAGTGTTGAGTATACTTATAGTATTGCACGAGATTGCATTAGAGTATAGTATTTCGCGAGATTGCATAATGAGAATGTTTGCACTAGATTGCATAATGAGTATGATTAATCGGGATTGTATATTGGGCATGATTGCTTTAGTTGCATTTTGATATCTTATATATCTAGTTTGCAAGATGTGATCTTGAAAGCATGAAGATAATTTCGTATTCGTTGTTAGTATGATATTGATCGATAGCATGAGTTCGTTATGATGAGTTTTGTTATGAGAAATATGTGTTGGAATATTCATGTTGATGAGTTATTTATATTTGAAGCATGCCTGATGATATTATGGGTTGCAAGCATATAGAAAGTCTGTGATGTATCTTAAAGTTGTCTAAGTGTTGAGATTGCTTGATTAGAGTTAATGAACAAATGTTTTTCCAAAGTATATATTGTAGTACTTTACAGGGTTGAGTGTGGTTATACTTAGCTTCGTGCTAACGGGTGTTTTCCTACTTGTCTACGTGTTGTTTTGCAAAACCCCTTTCAGGTGGGCCCATCGTTTGAGAGATTATCGAGTTAGACTAGTTTAGTAGATCTAGTAGTCTAAACTCTTATTATTATTATGATGTTCATTTGATGGATTGTAGACTTATGATGTTTATATTTGGTGATAGACACCGGGGTGTTTTCCCATTATGAATTTTAAATTAAGCAATTTAAATGTTAGTTTGACTTAATGATTTAGTTCCATCTTTAGCCTGTGCAATCACCGTGTAGAGGTGGTTTTGGCGGTGACATTCCCACTAGTTTATTATTTAAGTTGTTTATCCGCTGCTTAATTAGTTTATCTTGATCTTGGTATTAGAACTGTAATTAAGTTTAAGAAAAGTGGGGTGTTACACTAACCCCCTTCAAAGACTGCTCAATGGCTTTCTCCTTTTTCCCCTTGATTCTTTTTTCACTACCTTTGTTTTTTGCAACATTTGGGGGCTTGACTGTCATTGCCAAAGACGGTACCGACCCACAATATGATTGAATCATTGGATTATTTTTTTTGTGGTCTACTGGGCCATTGGTTTCCCCCACGAAAGAATCCTTTAGTCGGTGGATCACATGGGTTAACCGTTCAACACGTTCTGAGTTGGTAATTGCCAACCCCACACATGCGAAGATCTGTGCCCACATTCTGTTCTCTTGAGACTTGCTTTCATCGTCGTTGACATTTGAGTGTATAGTAAGGCCATCGAACTGAAACTCCGCGCGCAAACAAACCTTGCGTGTCCAGCGGTCTACTATGTATCTTGGTGGGATGTTGCTTACGTGGTTGTTTTTGAACACTATGAAAATGTGGCGGCACAACCATCCTAGCCTCTGGAAAAGTGAGCACATGCATGTTGCACTACTGTCAACGGAGTGGTAGTGCACGCGGTACTGTTGGTTGTCACTGTCTTTTATGCCGTAATTGATGATATCACCAACAAGTTCTACGGACACTACCCCACACGAATAACACCCTGCATAAATTTCAGCTTGTACCTCATGGAAAATCATGACGGTGTACACGGCCAACGCATGACGTTCCATTTTCAAGTCCATTTTTTGCGGTGCAAAATGTCCTTCGCACACCGCATTTAGCTTGGTATGGATCTGCCGTTGTGCATCTATTTCAGATTCAAAGTGATTGTAAAACTCCACCAAACTGGCTGTATGGGTTAAATACCTTCCAAAGAAACTGTTCTCACCCTCAGACCGGGACGTGATTCTAACTAGCCCACTGAGTAGCATATCCTTGAAATACGCGGGGACCCAATATCGACGTGCCTCCCACAACTGTGTGAACCAATTATGATCTAACAAGCCATATTCACCTAGAACCGCTTGCCACCTAGTCTCAAACACATCGGGCTATTGAATTTCATCCCAAACAATAGCATTTAGCTTGCCCCGAAAGACCACGTCCTTAGACAACTCTGGGCCAACCTTTTCGCCTACCTTCATCATAATATGCCACATGAAAAACCGATGCCGACTACCTGGGTAAACTTGTGCTAGAGCAATCCTCATAGCAGGTGGCAAACTGTCGTAGGCTCCCAAATTAAAACCTTACAAACGTAGTAGCGGGAGTAAGGATCGATCCCACGAGGAGTAACTAGTTTAACTTTTGTGCTCAAGGAAATAATGGGGGGTTTGGAAAATAACGAGAATAAAGATTAAGTAAAAGATAATTTAAATAAACAAGAGATTAAATAAATCGAATAAAGCAATGAAACTAATATATTGAAAGCACTTATAATAGAAAACCTTGGTTAGTAAAGATCCACCACCGGAATTTAACACTGATCATTGATTAGTAAAGTAATTAATATGCAATTGAATATTTGTCGTGAAATTATTTCATTTCCGTTTTCCCTTAGTTATAGGTAACTAAAGCACACGCGGTTTAATTACCCCTAACTACTAAATAACCTAAGACAAGCGCTATAGATTTAATTTAATAGCAGCAATAGGAACTAGGAAAACCGACAAACTAAATAACACAAGCACAAGCGGTTGCATTTAACTTAGGAAAATATTCTACCCGAGTCCGAGTCCAATTATCACTAAGCCGTCAATAATTAACTCAGTTGCTACTGAATATTAGAATAATTTGTAGCACAACATTATCTAATATAGCAAATAATTATATCAAGTAAAGAACTAGTAGGCATCCCTAGCAATTAAATGATACAACTATTCAAATAACTTAGAATAATATTTAATACCCAAATGCATAAAAATTATATAATAAAAATAAATAAATAATCTTACAGCATAATCAATTCCGGGACTTCAATTCACTAAACCAAGTTAAAGAAATTAGCAATGAATGGACATTGATAACAGCTTTACAGAATAATCGAGAGGGGAAGAATGAACATTTTACAAATGGAAACTTCTACTATTTATAGCATTCTAAAAATAAACTAAAGCTGTTGTCTACCACCCATTTCATGCTTTCACGAGTCTTCCGCCACTTGGTCCGAACGTCAGCTGTGCCATTCATTCTGTACAAAGAAACACCATTCATTTTATTTGTTTTGTACTTCCTAAGATTTGGGCGGTTTTAGGCATAGTATTATTATTAAGATTAAGATAGTGTTATTAAGATTAAGATAGAAAATGGATTCAAACATATACTAGTACGTAATAAATATATATGTATATACTAGTACGTAATAAATTAATATATATACTATGTGTTTATATATATATATATATATATATATATATATATATATATATATATATATATATATTATATAAAAAGAACTAATTATTAGATAATATTAAATAACTAATGCAAAATTATTATAAAGATGTAACTAAAATATGTGTGTAAAATATGCCTATCAAATTCCCCCACACTAAAACATTTGCTTGTCCCCAAGCAAAAATATTATTTGTGAAGTAAATAAATAAAATCCCCAAAACTCATAACATATCATGAACAACAATCTGAAGCACCCTGCAATTAATAAGATAGCACCCCTGTCTGAAAATGGAGAGAACTAAATAAGTAAGCCCTCACATGAATATCACTCATCACTCAAGTGTTTGATGGGTATAAATTTCACTCAAGTTCATTCCTATAAAATTGCTCTACCATAGGTTTGCATATCTTCTCAATCACCACTACAAGAGTCATGCATGACACAAATCATAAGGACTTCCCACAGGTTGTAATGGGGCTAGGGTTAAGGTAGGGAATATTTAGGAAAGTAGCTTAAACAAAAGCTTTCAAACTAGAGGAGCAAATAAATACTAATAATCCAAGATACTTGCTCAACACCAAGTATAGAATGTTTCCTCAGTATTACCAGAATTTCCCCTTACTTCATTTATTTAAAAGTAACTTCAACTCAAAATCAATTGTTGATTCTTTCTCATTTTCTCATAAATTTTCAGTAATATTTTTTTTTTCAAACATATATTCTCCATTTTTCCATTTTTTCATTTTTTCAATTTCCATATTTTTTTGGAATCATGAATTGTCTTCGTTTTCTTTTTCATAGAAGACCAGTGACAAATCGGCAATGAAGATACAACTCACCTCATTCTCCATCATATTAACACAAGAAAGTGACCTCCCACACACTTCTTCCTCACAACCCTCACGTAGATTACACGAATAATTCAAAATTTGCTCCACTAGTTATTCAGCTGGGTGAAGGCATTATTTTTAGATATAAAAGGCTTGTAATGTGGTTCAAAATAAAGAAAAGAATGACCATAAAGCTCAAAATGGTTAACAAGGGGAAATAAATCATAGGACAAACCGGTTATTTGGCTAGTGAGGCTCAAGATCAAATAATGGCCTTAATCACACTTGAATCATGCATGGTCTAATTAGCTTTAAAAGAGAATCAAGGCAAGTTCTAGAGAAACAAAATTACGGAAGAAATCGCACAATAGAAAGAAAATAAGACCGAAGTGTCAGTCAATAGCTCAAAACACTCACAGGTTTATTGCTTACTTAATATAGCCACTACATATCAAACAAGAAATGCTAACAAACTAATCATAATTTGCCAAACTATTTATTCAATCACATTATGAATTTCAGGAAAGGAATTTTTTTTTCAAAGAAACAGTCCCTTCATGCAGATTAGTACTCAAAGATGATTTATTATTTCTTTCTTTTTCATTCGAAGCAATTTCATCAAATGTAACAAAGTTCAAAGAATCAACAAAAATTACAAAATTATCATCACTAGGAGATTTCATGGTATCATAAATATTAAAAGTCACAAGTTTACCATTAGACTCCATAGTAAGCATACCACTATGAATATCAATTTTTGTTTTTGCAGTTTTTAAGAATGGCCTTCCTAACAAAATATAATTATTATTTTTCATATCAAGCACATAAAAATCAGCAGGAAAAACCAAGTTATCAACTTCAACAATCAAATCCTCAATCACACCCCTAGGATATGTAGTAGATCCATCAGCCAATTGAATTATTATACTAGATTTATTCAGGGGTCCAAGATTTAAAGAAGCATAAACAGAATATGGCATGACATTAATAGAAGCTCATAAATCTAACATAGCATTTTCAAATTTCACCCCACTTATCATGCATGGAATAGTAAACATACCTGGGTCTTTGCACTTTTCAGGAAGATTGCTTTGACTAGCCATAGAGACATTCTCTTGCACTTTCACTTCCTCAATTCTTTCATTATTTCGTTTCTTTTTCATAGTGCGTACCTCTTTTAGAAAATTTGCATAGTGAGGTATTTTTTCCATAGAATCTAAAAGTGGTTTATTAGCATCACATTCACGAAAGGTCTCATACAGATCATTATTTGAGTTTCCTCTTATTGGTTCTAAAAGAGCTTGAGGAAATGGGGGTACTGGTTCATAATCAGAAAAAGAAGAAAGCTTACCTTGGGACTTCTCTTTATTGTTGGCAATGATTCCTGCACTTATTTCCTTATTCAAATCAACATTCTTTTCCAGCGACATACTTTCAACATTAATTGCACTTACATTCTCTTTAGGATTAACAACTGTTTGAGAGGGTAGTTTGCCAGAACTCTGTGCTTCCAACCGACTAACCGTAGTTGCTAGTTGGCCCATTTGTCTTTCCAAGTTTTGAATACTAGCCTTTGTTTCTTGAATACTAGCTCTTGTCTCTTATTGGAATAGTTGTGTTTCTTGTTGAAACTGCAAAGTGTTAGTAGCAAGAGATTTAACAATATCTTCTAGATTCGTACCTGAGCTAAAGTTTTGGGTCGGTTGTTGTCTTGAAGGAAATGGTTGTCTATACTGTGAAAATTAGAACGATTCTGAACAAACTGGTTCCCTTGTGAGTTCCCATAGCTAAGGTTTGGGTGATCCCTCCATCCAGGATTATATGTATTGGAGAACGGATCATACTTACCTTGAGGTTGTCCAGGAAAACCTCCAGCCATGTTAACTTGTTCAATAGGTTCTTCTTGAAGAGTTGCGCATGCATCAGTTTGATGCCCAACTACCGAGCAAATTCCACATGCTTTTACAGTTTGCATATTGCCTACTACTAATTGACGGACAAGAGTAGTTAAACCAGAAATTTGTTGTTCAAGAGCAGAAATATTTACCTCATTCACATGCTTAGACGGTTGGACTATTCTATTGCCAAACTGTTGAGAATTTGCAGCCATGTTCGCAATTAGAGTTCTTGCAGCGTCTGGTGTCTTGTCAACTAAAGCACCACCGCTTGCAGCATCAATCATGCTTCTATCCATTGGAAAAAGTCCTTCATAAAAGTACTGAATGAGTAATTGCTCACTAATTTGATGGTGTGGGCAGCTTGCACAAAGCATTTTGAAACGCTCCCAATATTCATATAATGACTCTCCATTGTTTTGCCTTATACCACAGATTTCCTTTCTAATGTTGGCCGCCCTTGAAGCTGGGAAATATTTTTCAAGGAATAGTGTCTTTAAGTTATTCCATGTGGTGATGCTTCCGGAAGGTAAATAATATAGCCAATCCTTCGCTGAATCTTTCAAAGAAAATGGGAAGGCTCTCAACTTGATTTGTTCTTCAGTAACCCCTGTGGGTTTCATACTTGAACACACCACATGGAATTCCTTCAAGTGCTTGTGAGGGTCTTCACCTGCAAGTCCATGAAAAGAAGGCAAAAGATGAATTAATCCAGATTTTAATTCAAATTGGACATTAGCATCCAGAGCAGGGAAAGTGATGCATAAAGGTTGGTGATCTAAATTTGGTGCTCCAAGCTCTTTTA